CTAGAGGGATTTAATTTGTGATGTCCTTGAACCATATATTTTTGCTTTGTGCATTTTCTGCGTTGTGTTTTACATTTTATAATAAGAAAAATAAATCTCAAATGATAATCCCCAGTACAGACATTGGGGGAAAAGTTTTGAGTTTTTCAGAAAACTGATTAGTTAGAATAGAAGAATATCCCCAGAACTTTTGCTAGAACTGAGAGAAAAAGGATTCAAAATGAAGATAGTCACTTATAATCACCCTTGATTCTGTCCTTTTGTGACATCTTTTCTTCCTACTAAACTGCCATGTATACCGATTTTAATTTGATTTCCCTTGCACAAATAGGTTGTGGTCAATTAGTGGTCACATGACTCCTTTTCCTTTCAAAGAATTTCCTGGTGGTGTGTCCTACAGTAGTTCACACGAAGTGTTTCAGTTTCTGCTGCCCGGATTTGAATCTCCATTTCATCAGTTGCTAGCTAGGTAATTTTCACTTGGGAGTTTTTTAGTATTTGTCTGTCTGTCTGTCTGCATGTGCGCTTAAACATTGTTTCACTGCCTACCAAGATCAGTGCTTTTAATAATGAACTTTTATTAAAACATGAAGTCAAAATACTTATCTGCACCTTTGTTAAATATTATTGGGATCAAGTACACTCTCTTGTCCCTACATTACACAATATTGGCAGGAATCATACTTTCCAGTTTTCCATGCTGAGCCACACTGGTACTGAACAAAGATATTTATTCTTCTAAAGCCTGCTTCTACCAGAGATGACTGTGAGACAACTGAGAATAGAAGGAAACAGGGAATCTTTAGTCTGTGGCTAGAAGTCCCAATCATGCAAGATGGATAAATTCTAGATATGCGGTCTACAATATGTTCTCTATAGTACACAGTATACTAACACTTAACCTTCTAACAGAACTTTATGTGTTTTATGACTTTCTAGTCCCAGCATAGAGTGGCTATCATAGTAAGTGTTTGAGAAATATATCCTGATAAAAAATGAATGCACAATTAGTTCTACCAATGGGTTACATATTTTATAGTAAATTTCCACAATTTCTAATCCCAAAGGGAGAGTGATATTTTCTTTATGAATGACTTTCCAAACTTTTGTCCTCTGAGAAAATTTGAAATTTTTCATCTTAAAATAAAAATATATTCTCTGTTCACAGAAGAGAATTTTAAAATATCTCTGTAATAAGAAAGCAGGTGATTTCCAAAAGATTACTTGACACAATCATTTTGTAACCAGATTATTTCTCACTAGAGGGAGCTCAGCACACACACTAAATTGCAAGACATGCCGAATAAAATGTCATTTCACTTTAGAGTGATACAGTTTCAGTAAATAGGACATGAATTTGCAGAAGTAGGAAATTTTTCTATGACAATCTTCTTCAACTGTTAACCTTTGTGATCCTAAATTTCATAAATGGGAATAACGTAAGATAAAGTAATAATCATCCAGTTAATTAATGAGGTAGTATTTTACGTAAGTATAGTGTAGGCAAAATAAGAGCTATGTCATCCTTACTCTCTTTGGAGGAAAACGCCGATATTCATGACAAAGAGAAAAAATACAAGGCAGTGAGCGGTACTATACAAGGCAAATGTTGTTTGGAGGAATGAAATGCTCTCTGGGTGCCCTTTGCATGATGTGTAACCCCTTGGAGTACCTTCCCCTTAAAGTCATACCTTCTTGGGTTCATTTGGGGAAGGCACAGTCCCATGGCCACTCCTAATCCTGTGCGCTCAGCAGCCTGCTTCTCTCTTGTCCTTCATCACACCCCTGATACTCATAGCTCAGAAACTGTGGAGTCACCAGCCTTTCTGAATCCACCACCTTGAACAGACACCAAGTTCTTCATTCATAATAGTGCAGTTAAGACTGTGTGGAACAAAGTCTTGTTAATGGTTTAGAAGAAAATAGTACCATATCTTCAAAACCTCTCACCCTCTTACATACAGTGACTGGGAACTCAGTGACCCTCATTCTGCACGGGTTCCAGAACCACCAGCAAACTAACCCTCCACCACAGATTATGAAGCCTTTCTCTACTTCTGAAATTATACATATCTGTCTTTCTCCTAGACTGGGTACCAAAATGTCCCATAGAAATATATCCCAGATATTGTATGGGATAGACTTATACTAACAACAACAAAAAAAACCTATTCTTTATTTATTCAAAATTCAAATTCTACTGGCACCCTACATTTTTTTCTAAATCTGATAACTTTTTTGGGTAACGCCTTTTCGTGGGGGCACTTAGTCTCTGCCACAGTGGCTCAAGCCTGGGGAGCTTCTTGGGAAGCCCCAAAGCCAGCAAATTGACTCAGTGACCTTTGAGGCTGTGTCTTAGTTACTTTTCTCTCATTGCTGAGACAAAATACCTGACGCCCAAAATTAAGGAGGTAAATATTTATTTAGCTCACAGTTTGTGGAGATAGCAGTCCACACTTGGCTGGCTCCAAGGCAGTGGCACATGGCAGAGGGCGATAGTTCATGGCAGCAGAAGATAGCAAAAGCAACAAGAGCACAAGGGGAGCAGTGGAGGCAAGCAGCCTCTTTCCCTCCCTTATATTGTATGCAAACTATCCACCCTAGAGTGGGCGTAGCTCTCATACCCATAACCCCAGCACTGGACCATGAATCAATCATCAACCCTAGAAGCCCACCCCATGACTGCATGAGGCTTTGGGGGGACATCCAGACACAAACCATAACAGGTTGTCTGGGGACTTTGCCTAGGATTGGGCTCTGCTGGATCTTTTATGCAAGAAGCTATACAGAGATACAAGGAAGTTACTTGATCCAGAGACTCTGTGGGAAGAAGGTGGTCAGTATGGAGAACTCTTCAGCCAGATTTTAGATCTCACTGTGACCAAGAAAACTAACAACAAAAAAAAAACCCCACTAGTTCATTCACCCATAGATGGCTATTACTTATTGCTAGAACGAGTTATAATTCACTGCTAATTACATAATTTTTGTTCTAATGCTCCAATAAAACTCTTCACATGTGGAAGGGTTGCATTTTTTTCAATGTCAGTCGATTCTTAGAACCCTCCTTTCAATTGTATGCTGTTGTGGTTTAGACCTGGACTGTACACTCAACTGTCAAGCCATGACAGAGTGGGGCTTTTGAATGGTGGTGGTGTCACAGGTGTGCTGCATTTGTGGGCAGATTCATAAACTGGTGAGTTCAGCACTTGAGTGTGCTACTGGAACATGGACCCTGGTGAGAAGACGCAGGTCACTAGCAGCATGACCTGGACAGTTACATCTCCCTCACAAGCTCCCCATTACTTTCTCTGCTTCCTGACCACCGTGATGTGAGCAGCTGTCCTACCTTCACCATGCCCTTCCTGCTCTGGAGCCTGCTAATTACAGACTGAAAATTTGAACCATAATAAACCTATCTTCCTTCAGATGGTGGGTGGCAAGTATTTTGTCCTAGCAATGAGAAAATGTCTAAAACCCACAAGAAAATCTATTATCTATCATCAAAATTTATTGTGTATGATCAGCTGATAAAATGAGTAAGGCAAAACCCACCTAGACATAAACTCCTTAAATAACAAAGTGCTCAAGTTATCATCAGGAGAAGCCTCCAGAATCTACTGATGGCAGTACAAAATAGGTTTATCAAGAATGGACGTGAGCCAAAAAGGCCAGCTCATTAGGTCATTCGATCATTGCACATCACAAACTACTCAAAATCAATGCACCGATCATAACTCACTACTCCGCCCACAAAAACACACAATTTGTGAAGACGCATGACGACCCTCTGGCCTGCCAGACAGAACTATAAACCCCCCTCTTTTGCCACGTGGTCACCAAGCAGGTTTTCCCTTCTCTTTCCTATAAATTTCCCCAATAAGCTAGGGGATGGCACCTCTGAAATTATAGCTCTGGACCTCATTGCTGGTTGGCTGTACGGTACAGGTTTTCTTCTTACAAAAATCCTGTGCCTAAATGTCGGGTTCTGTGCACCCTGGGCAGCAAGTCTTTGCTTTGTATCATTGACAGCTAGGTTTGGTTCTCAGATTTTGTTGAGACATTGGAAACCGTCTGATTTGCAAGGGGATTCTTATGAAGACACTAGAGTAATTTACTTTCTTGACAAAAAAATGTTGGATGAGGCAGAGAATTTCGTTTTGAACAAAAAATTATGAGGGAAGGGGACAAAGGGGGACAAGAGGAGAAAAGAGTATGTTGAAAAGGGTAGCATGAATGGATTATCAAGCCGACCAATTTTTACAAAAAAAGACATAAGCTAGGAAGCTGAAAATGTAATCCCTTAAAGTAATCCATTCTATGAAACTCATAGAAAGTCTTGTACTATGGTAGGGACCAATCCCAGCAAGAGATATTTAATAAAGTCAAGGTTTAAGTGATCCAGATGCAGGTGATCAGAGGCAACCAAGCAATGGTAGTTTTCACCAAGGACACGGAACATTCCAAGTTCCCGATAGAGGCTTCGTCAGCGTCCACAGAGCCCAGAGAACACACAGTCCAAGTTTGCCTCACCCATTCTTGTATTGTCTGTACATCTTTCTAAGATATATAGATATAGATATAGATATAGAACAATACATGCTTTCTCTCTGGACCAAAGCCCTTAATCAGAATCTCTTGAAGTCCTATTGCCTGTGAACTATCATTTGATCGTTGCTTATGTGTAGACTTCACTGGCTGTCAGACGTCGCCCCACCTAACATACCCTTTTTTTTTTTTTTTAATTCTAGGTTGAAGTGAGCTCTGTCCGGAAAGAACGGCTCTGGCTCCACTCCACAACCGAGAGCACAGTGTCCGGTGCCTAAGTGCAGTCTGCATAGAATGTTTCTTTCCCTGGACTCAACCCCGAGTATACCGGAGCCCCTGAAACTCCACGCCACAGGACTGGCAAGGAGAACGCTCCGCCTCCTGCAACTCCACGCGGGAGGAAGGACTCCGCCAATCAGAACTAGGCGCACACATCACGCATGCGCAGGGCGAAGAGTCGGTGCGCGGGAGGCGCTGGCGCGCGCACGCAGCAGCCGTGCGAAGCGGGCGCGCGCTCGGACGCGAGCTGGTGGTGTGTAGCTGGAGTGCGCGCGGCGACCCGGCCTTAACTATGGCTCACCGGCCCCAGAGGACCTTCCGGCGGCGGCAGGTCGACTCCAGCGACAGTGACGGCGCCGAGGATCCGACTGCTGAGGCCGAGGCGCAGAGGGAGCGGGCGGCCCCGGGCTCGCCGGAGCAGGGTCCGCCCCCCGGAGTCCGCGCGGAGCTGGCGGGGCCGCAGCGCCGGGCCCGGGGCCCTCGGGGCCGCAGTCGGGTCTGGGCGAGCTCGCGGCGCGTGGACGGCGGCTCGGGCGCCCCAGGTGACGCGGGCGGGGAGGGCCCGGGTGTTGCCTAGGCGACGCTGACCGCGCGGATCCCCGGCTGCGCGGGTCTCAGAACCCTGAGCCCTTTGCCTGCGGGCGCGCGTGCTGGCGTCCTCCCGGGGCTGGGGCGCACGGAGCCGCATCCCGGCGCTGCTTTGCACCCTGAGCTGACCCCACCCGATTATAGTTAAAGTCATTGATACTTATGGAGAGCGAAGTCGTCGCAAAGGACCGAGCGAACTCTTAGTAGCATTACACTGGTGAAAGTTCTATGTGCCTTTTGGAAAATTTGCCCATTTTTTCCCTAAAATACACTTAAGAACAGTACAGTAAAAACACAGGTGACAGGTTTGGGAACATTTTCTTTTGCTTTTTTCTTTCATCAGTTATTTGCAAAATCTAAGATTAAAAGTGGGACGTATGTGACCCTGAAGTATCCTTATAGAGGTTGATGATGCTGTGGGCTGTGCCCGGAATGGCTTTCAGTGCAGTGTACCGCGGTCACTTTGAAGTTGCTTTGCGTTCTTAAATAGTTTTCAAGCAACAAAAGTTTCTTTACATAAAGCCTGGGACTTAATAGGGAATACAGTTTTTGTTTAGTCTTGAACTCCCAAGTTTTCTTCCCACTGCTTTTAGTCCCATTAAAGCAATCCTGGTGATTTCTTATAAATTTGACTTTTTTGCAAATAAAAGTGGGTACATTGTAGAATGACTAAGTTGAGCTAATTGACTTATATGTTATCTACTTGTGGGGTTTTTTTGTGTGTGTGATGAGAATATTTAAAATCTTAGCAGCTTCCAAGTACTGTAGACAATAAATTGTTATTTACTATAGTTAACTGTGGCTTGTTTCATGTTATGTAATGTTTTATAGGTTAATAATCTGTGATTTCTTGATCATTGTTAAGACCTACTTGTATAAAGTTCGGATGACTTTCATATTTATACTGTAAAATGTGTCAGTCATCTGGTTAAACTTAGTAGGGGAGGTTAAGGCCAGGAGTTGACTTTTCTTGGCTTTTAGAGCATTTTTCAAATATTGTGATCTTTAATATCTGGCTAAAGAGAAGACCCTTGAATTCTCAGAGCTGCTTCTGCATTCAGTCTCTTGTACTGTGTCGTTTTGAAGTATTTGAAGAACATACAACCTCTCACAGATACCTGGATAGAGGAGTACTTTTTAGATTACTAAGGGTTTTCTGCTTTAACGTTACAACAAAGTACAAAGAATAAGAGTTTTTGAAAAGGGGAGTTGCAACATGGAATCTTAAAACATGTCCATTACACTAAAATCCATAGGTCTGTTTTGCACTTTGAATGGATCTTCTACTCATTCAAGATTGGTAATATCAAGCATTGAATATTTGGGAAGTAAAGTATTTTGTTTACTGTGTTCACACATCTTGGTGCGCTGGAAGTTCAGTCAGCTTATTCCTACAAGCATAAGGCAACCACCGCATTTCAGTGAGCAGGAGAAATGCCTTATGCATGCTTCCATGTTATGCACAGCATTAAAGAAAATACATGCTAGCTAGCAAGATTTGATAACGCTGTCAGTTTCATTTTTCTTTAATTTTCCCTTTTCTCACTGCATCTGTTTAGAAATGTTTTTTAAATATATAGATAATATGAATAGAGTAAGTCTTTGTACATTTAATAGACCGTCCAGTTGTTTTAGATAGGTTGGTAGTTGGAGAAAGTTTACTTTGGGAGAGTTTAAATACCACATTTATATATATACCATCTGTTGTTCAGAATTTGAGTTATTGATTCCAATATTTGGACTCTCTTATATTCAAAAAAAATAGAATCCAGAAGAATTGACCTTTCAACAGATGAAGAGGATGGAGCACTGCATTCTACAGAGAGTAAAGATGATCAGACCTCGTCCTCTGACAGCTCTAGCTCTCCAGAAGAAACAAAATTTTCATCAGCAGGTTGGTCATTTTTATAGTTTTATTTAAGAACCTGTGTGTGTGTGTGTGAGAGAGAGAGAGAGAGAGAGAGAGAGAGAGAAATTTTAACAGCCACGTGTGGGTATGGAGCTCTTGAAAGGTGCCTAGTGCAGCTGAGAGATTCGGTTTTAAATTTGGTTGTATATAAGTAGTCACGTGTTGCTAGTGGCTGCTGTAAAACAGTGTGGCTGTAGAAGATGGTGAGTTAAACACGGGGAGAGAGTGGCCACCAAGTATTTGCAACACTGCCCACCTAGGGAGAGGGTATTGTTCGGAAATACGTGGGCTGGTTTTTTATGATGGTAATGAGTGAAGTGGTGTTGAATGTTGTGCCACCTGGGGGTTCCAGAAGTGACAGATAGGTAGCCCTCAACAAGATGTCACCAACACCTGATGCATGAGAAAGCTAATGATAGGATGGCATGGTTTCATCTATTTCTTCATACATCTATGTAGCGGGCAGTGAATCTTAGCGTATTATTTTGGATAAAATAGTTTTGGTAAAAGCCTACATGGTGCCTTGGGAAGCCTCCCGGGATAGTGTAAGAGATAATTCCCCAGATCAACACTGCCCAGGAATGTCTCCCCAAGATAAGGGGGCGCCTAGGCCTAGTTAACCCTCCATGACCCTGCCTGGGCAGTTCCATCTCCTGGCCCTAGGTAAACATTGTAACCATAAAGGAAATGTATGGTTATCTAAAGGAGGACATATAGAACAGAGTACAGAAAGTATATATCATTGTGGTTGGGCTCATGACCGGAGCCTGACCCGGTTACATGGCACAAGGAAAACAACATGTGGCCAGGGCTACAACATTCCTTTCTGTTACCATGGAAACCAAAAATGTATATAACCTGGGAATAAAGACTGTTCCACGCCCACTTCCCGGACTTACAAGTCGGGATGAGAGGTGACCGGTCTAAATTAAAAACTTTGTTCTCTTTGGTCTCTTGCGGAATACAGCCCGAATTTTTGCCATAACATCTAGATAGGGTTCATCTCTGTACATTGCATTTCATCTCTATTAAATTAATTTTCTTCCTTTACTGAGGTAGATTTTGTGCAGTTTATTAATTTACATGAAATATATCAAAATAGTAAAAAATTTAGAAACATGATGCCTTTTTTCTTTGTTACGTGTAACAGACATATATTTCAGGCATGTCTGTCAGTGTTTGGTTTTCATTGTCTTCTTGTTTCCTTCAGTTAAAATCCCTGATGCAGCTGCTATTCAGGCAGCCCGCAGAAAACGTGAACTGGCCAGGGCCCAGCATGATTATATTCCTTTGGATGTGAAACATCCCTCCACCACCTCTGCTGTGAAGGGGGACAGTGGAGAGGATCCTGAGAGTGAGCCTGAAGACCATGAAAATAGAATACTGTTTACCCCGAAGCCTCAAACGCTGAGACAAAGAATGGCTGAGGAAACAAGTACATATTTCATTTACTAATATATGATTAAGGCACTTTTTCATTGGAATATACGATGGTAAAGTCTCCACTAAAGTGTAGTGTATCATCTTATATGGTAAAGAGTGTTGATGCTGATTTTTATGTATGATCAATTTGGTCCTGATATTAAGGCCTCTAAAAGATACGCGTGCATCAAAATACTCTTATCAAAGGGTACGTAATATTGACAAAGGCTTGACTCTCACTTGGGTTTTGACAGATTAAAAAAATTATACATAGTCTTTATTTTTGAAGCATTCATATTTGTAAAGATAGTTTTTAAGATTTATTTATCTTAAAATAGCTTCTTTTCTAAGATTCTTGAGAGATTTTAGGTGTAGGTTTCTTTTGCCAGTAATGCTTAAGTCTCAAAGGGTGTTCTCATGTTCCTCTTTGATAACATATTTGCCAAGTTTTTTGTTTCTTTAAATAATACTTACTTCAGAATGAGTTTGGTTCCTTGTAACCCCCAAAATTATTTTTGTTTGGATTATCAGGAATTAGAGATTTTTGATGAGAAAATTCAGATATTTCATACTTTTTCAATCTTTTCCACTTCGGTGGGGCTAAAGTGTTTTGAGTGGGCAGTGGATGGTAAGGTGCAGGTCCTTGAGTCAGATCACTGCATTTCAATCACTGCATTTCAGCTACAGTAAAGTCTTCAGGCAAGTTATTTATTTGCACTACAGTATATGAGTTTACTCATTTATAAAACTAAGATAATATTGCCTTCCTGATTATGGTGAAGAATAAGTAACAGTTAAAGTATGTTTAACCTGCATAAAACAACCCCCACAAATGCTGCCTACTTCAGTGGAAGTGGAAAAATATTAAACGTTTATTTGTGAACTTTTTGTCTTCTTAGCTAGCAGAAATGAAGAAACAAGTGAAAACAGCCAAGAGGATGAAAGTCAAGATATTTGGGAGCAGCAACAAATGAGGAAAGCAGTTAAAATCACAGAGGTAATGTTTTCTAATACTGTGTCTGTTTGATTCCTGTAGCTGCTTGTCATAGTTTGGGGTTTTGCAAAGGGAAACAATACAGGACACATATTTTATAAGATTGTTCTATAATGCATCACCCAAAGAATCATATACAAAGAGTGCAGGAAATCTGTCCACACACTAAAGACCGAAGAATCCAGCTAAGGACCTGGATTCCATGATAATGTCCTGCATGAGTCCAACCGAAGACCTACAGCTCATAGCAGTGCCTCCCACAAGTCTCACTGGAGGCCTAGAGCCCATGACAGTGTCTCATGCAGGCCTGTTTCACAGATCTGCGATGAGAAGGCCCAAAAGTCAGTGATGGAAGCTAGAAAGTCTGTGACAATGGGATGAAGGATGTGTGCTAGCAGGCTGAGGGAACTGCACTGGAGCCAGGAAACAATGCTCAAAGTAAGAACCAAAGCTCCCTGAAAGGTACCACAGCCATCCTCAGCAACAGTGAGGTCCTGAGCTCCTCTGATGATGAGAACAGACAAGTTCCCATCAGGAAAGCCACCATGACATGCTCCTCCAGGAGACTGAGCAGTGCACCATCTTCCACTCTGGAGCCAGGAAGCAGTGCTCAAAATGAGGACCAGAGCTCTCCCAAAGTGACCCAAAGCTATTCTCAGCAACAACAAGGTCCTGAGCTCCACAAGGTCCCGAGCTCCTCAGACAATGAGAACAGCCGAGTTCATCAAGAAAGCCAGCATAACAAGCTCCTCTAAGAGAATCAGCAGCTCCTTACAGCTTCCAGCAGCACACAACAGCTTCTACCAGCTCCCAACAGCCTCTCAACAGCTTCCCTAACAGCTTGTCTTCTTCCTCTCTAGTTTTACCTCTTATGCTGCCGGCAACAATCTTCAAGTGGGCCTCCCACACCCAGCACCTTCTGAACTGAACTGTACTGCAATTCAGTTCAGCTGGGAGTTACAAGTTGACCAGTTGTCAGTCCACCACACTACTATAACAACTTACTACAGCTTGGTGACTTAAACCACAGATGATTATTCTTTCCCAGCATGGAGGGCAGATAGCTAAAATCAAAGTGGACAGGACTATGCTTCCTTCGAAGGCCCTATGGGAAAATCTGTACTTTCCTTTCCCAGGTTCTGATTATTCTGGTTGTTTCTTGAATTGTGTTGGCGAAACTCTTCCCTACCCCTCCCTTCCTGTGGCCTTCTTTTCATCCCTACTGTTTCCTATAAGGAATCTGACTTTATAGATGTCCTGGGGTCTTCCGAACAACCCAGGACGACCTGGGAGGGATGCAAATGGGAAAGTTTGGGAAAGCCTCCATAGAGGTAGTGATAGTTTAATGGGTCGTTCAGATATGTCTGTGGTGTGAAAGATTTGAAACTGACCTTATCAGGAGTGTTTGGGGATTTGCAGGTAGGATTGGAGCTGGCTGGGAGGCTTGGTAAAAATTGAGAAAGGATGATGCTTTATGGAAAATATAAAAAGGATAATTAAGCTAATGAGTTTGCTTAATATATGGTCCACATCCTCCATATGTCCTTGTTGGAAGTAGAGGTTCTTCAGAAAGATTTGAACATCCCAGCCCTGGTCCTGATGAGCTGTCATTAGCAAGAGAACACTAATGTGACTTGCACGACCTCATAAGATGTATTAGGATTGAATTTCCCCAGAAGTATTAGAAAACCCAATAATAGTTGCTTCGGTCACATCGTCTCATTTAAGAGTACATTTAACCATAAGCAAAATTAGCTTTGAACACTTCAAGAAATGAACTTCTATGAAAAATCAGATTTTTAGAATTTGTATCTTACATGTGAATTTAATGTTTAAAATTTAAAACTGAAGATTTTGAAAACATTTCATTGTTACCATGAAAACAGGTGCATGGAATTTTGAGCCAGAAAGGAGCCTGGAGTATCCAGTCTCTTGTAAGGTAAATGTTTTTGTTTTTTGGTTTTTTTTATCTAGGGAAGAGACAGAGACCTTTCCCACATCAGAGATTCTCCAGCAGTGAAGAAGTTTGATACTTCCATTTCATTTCCACCAGTAAATTTAGAAATTATAAAGAAGCAGTTAAACACTAGGTAAGTCATACTCATTTTGAAACTTACGGCAGCATTTAATAGTGAGAGAGAACTACATTCTTTTTAATTATTGAATGATTTATAAAGAAAAAATAGCACCTGCTGTGTTACCACATTAACTCAACTGATTTTGTTGTCCTCCATTTTTATAACCTATAATCAGTAATTACAAAATTCTGCTTTTTTTACTTAATGTGGCTAAAGTACTTTTCTACATTGTTGGAAGTCTTTAACTTTTTAAAAAGAATAATATGCTTATCCCTATACTGAATATATCGTAAATTATGTAAGTATTTCTCTAGTGGATGCTTTGATTTCTAAGTTTCCTCTATAATTGCTATAGGTAATAAACATTATGTTCCTTTAAATCTTTTAATCTGTTGAAGTTTTTTCCCTTAAAATAAATTAACAGAGAAAGTTCTCTCTGGCATGGGCTAATATATTTGTATGCTTCTATGGGTTACCTTTCTAAGCACAGCTTTTATTCCATCAGTATTAATACTTATCTCTTAAATAGTATTAACCTTAAGATAAGCAATATTTTTGCTAAAAATATGGCAGACTACATCATAGGTTGTTTTGTTTTAAATATTTATATTTAAGTATTTGCCTAGATTTAGTATGTATCATTATATATATGAAAGAATGAATATGCTAGTCAAAGTTTAATTAGTCCTTATCACAATTTGATATAAAGGAGGGGTGTTAGTTCTACTTTTAAAAGAACATTTTCATTGCTTTTCTGGCTCGTGAGAATAGGCTTACTTTTTTTCTTCCTCCGTATCTTAAAGTAATTTTGTTCTTTCATCACATTGCAACTAAAATGTATTCATTGTCGTTGTTCACTTAAGTGAAGATTGGATGTAGAAAAGAATTTTCTAGCGTTTTCTAGTGAAAGAAATACTGCAACATCTTCAGATGTATCAGTTTTCAGATATTAGATTATCTCTGTATTCTGGGCCTTTGACAAACTAGCAGCTCCACCCCTGTTTTTATAAATACTAAAGGGGCAGGGGAAGAAGGACCAAAGGGAATAGTAGGAAGGAAGAGGAGAAGGGGGAAGGAAGGAGATGTGTTTCTTACACCTCCATTGGCACACACATGTATGACAGCTGACTGGATTTTGAAAGAGAAACGTCCTTCAGTCACATTTGACTGTTTCTTCATGTAACATCAGTTGAGGCATAGATTATTCCCAAGGGCTGAAAGAAAACACACTGTCGTATCTTTAAGAGGGCAGCATGTAGGGAAATAAAATAGCAGCAGAGGAAGTGAAATGCACCTCCAAGAACAGTAGATTCTAATACCACACAGAAACCACTGTGGGTCACAAAATGTAAATTTAAATCGTACCAAGCATGCTTTAATGACATTAATGCCAACTCATTCAGATACGCATATTCTAAGACCACTGCTTAATAGTAACTGCACACGGACTCTGAAATACAAGATCACTGATTTTTTTTTTTTTTTTCAGAACCTACTTTATATATTTTCACCAATATTAGCCTAAAACCACAATCATTAACTTCTGTAAAATTAGCCTGTGATGAGCTTCGGCCTCTGAAACCCTACCAGTGTCCTTGTTATGCTTTCCCCTTAATAAAGCTCTAATTGTGTGCTTATCAAGACTAATAAATCCAGTTCATAGGCTGTCAATGTCCTTGGTTATCTTTGAAAGCATTTGCATTAGAAAACTACTTTAAAAGGAAAAGTTTGAAAAATAAAGCATTTTTATTTTATTTATTCAGATTAACATTACTACAGGATACTCATCGCTCACACCAGAGAGAATATGAAAAATACGTAGAAGATCTCAAGAGCTCAAAGAATACAATCCAGAATCTAGAGAGTTCGTCAGATCAAGCTGCAAATTATAGGTTCTATAAAAGCATGAAAATGTATGTGGAAAATTTAATTGACTGTCTAAATGAAAAGGTACATATAAATATATCATTTCCTTTTTTGAGAAATAGCATCCCTTACTATGCAATTAGAAAGAGAAAAGTCTAAATCTCACTGCATAGTGTTTTTCTGTGCCATTTTTCCGACACATTTTTAATACAGGATTTTTTCACTTATTTTGTTGTTATAATACTGTAAAAAAATATTGTCTACAAAATTTTTGTGTTAAAATTTCAGTTTAAGAAAAATTTCTAGAAAATGAAGTAAGAGTGAGTTATTCAGTATAACTACTTTAAGGCTTACTAAGCATTTTGTCATCCAAAAAGATTTTACTAGTTTTATTAGTTAACTAGATTAGGACAAAAATGGAATTTGGTCTTGTATATTATATTCTGATCGTAGATAAATCCTTTTTTAATTAGCTACATGCAGTTTTTCTTCTTGTGACTTGATTATTTCTTGCCCTTTTAACATTTTATTCTTAGTGGGGATTGTTTCTCAGTTTTTAATTTTTTTAGTGATGATAAAAAGTTTGTTTGTTTGTTTGTTTGTTTGTCCGGTCCTGGGAATCGAACTCACGACCTCGCACTTGCCAGGCAGGCACTGTGCTGCTGAGCTAAATCCCCAACCCCATATAAACAATTCTTTATACCTTAAAAGATTTACCCAATTTGATGTAAACTTTCTAGTTAGTTTTTCTTTTCATTTTTGACATTCATATATTTTGAAATTTTTATATTATCAGATTCATTAATCTTTCAACTGATACTTTGTGGGTTTTGCTTTATGCATACTAAAAAGGTCGACAGATACTTGCATGCTTTATCCTTTATTTTTGCTTTATAAGGCTGTGTACTAATATCATTTCGTAGTTACTTTCTAAGGTATTGTTTGCAATGTAATATTTTTCTTCATTCATCCTTGGAAAAGTGCAGTGTTAATATCCTATTGGGCACGCATTGATGAATCCTTAGCAATAGGTGTGAAACATCATTCAAGGGAAAGCAGCTGTTCCCCAAGAAGTGCGAATCCCAGTTTCAGCTAGTCATGATTATGCATCACAACTGTCTTACCTGTGTCTGGTTAGTTTTCTTGCATTCTTCATTTTTTTCTTTCTTTAATCCCCCCTCCCCATGCTCCAATTTTTCATGCCCCACCAGCTTCTTCCAGTGCCTCCCCACTGTCTGCCCCTTTGGCCTGTGAGGGAAGCTGCACCACTTCCCATTTCCTTTTACTCTCCTGTCTCAGAAAGGAACCCTTCCTTCCCCTTTTCTGTCACTCATGTCCATGTTCCTAACTCCTTCCTTTGTGGTTCCATTATCTGCAATACTCCTAGCTGTCCCAATATAGAAAGTTGCTTTTCTTTTCAATATTAAGTGTCTGCCTCTAGGTCTGTGCTCCAAGTATCCTATACCTGATATGTGACAGTGTTGGAAATGTCTTTTCATACAAAAGTCAAGCATATACATATGTTTACATATCTTCTAAGAAATAATTTTTATACATTTTAAAGTTTGTTATGGGACCTGCAAAATGTTACTTATATATGTATTTCAGATTATCCACATCCAAGAAATAGAATCATCCATGCATGCACTTCTTTTAAAACAAGCCATGACCTTAATGCAACGCAGGCAAGATGAATTAAAACATGAATCAACGTATTTACAGCAGTTACCACGTTAGTGTTTTTTATGTTCAATATGGTTTATTGTTCATTAAGCTAATGTACCATCTAGAGAATAAAAATAAGTCTGTCCCTGTATAAAAGTTTTTTGTGTATTTTCCCACTAATCTTTCATCCTCCACTTTCCAAAATTGCAAAATATTTACAGGTAGTTTCAAAATACTTTAAGTCTAAAATTAAAAGATAAACACTGTAACTTCTAATCACTTGCTGTTTGAGACAAAATATTTCGATGGCCATTTGATGATTTTGCGATGGGTTCACATAAATCTATTCGTTGTGCCAGATACCACATTAATAGTTTTAAGGGCCCTTCCACAGACTGGTTCAGTATGGATTCATCTGTAGGATCTCATTGTATAAAATTTGTACTCTTTATTTTAATCTTCACATTAGTGTTTTAGATGAGGTCTTACATTGATTCAAGGGTTGTCAGTGTATGGTGAAGGGGTTGTGAAATTAAGTACCTTATAAAAGAGGCAAAGTGACTTTCATACACACGTTTAGTCACTCATAAATAATAGCAAATGTTACATTGGCAACAAAGTGAATCAGATACAGTAATATAAATATTTTTAGCATTTGGCTATGGAGAAAGCTAGTACAATTACCAAAAAAGAAACTGTGTAGTGGAATTCTGATGTTATTCTCAAGTGCTGGACTACTTCCAGCCAGGGAACATTTTTTAAGCTAACAAACTTGGTGCCTATTAATATTGTGATGGCGAGTTAACTGAAATTTCGTTGCACAGTAAAATACACAATTTAATCATAGTATGTGCATTATTATTTGTTAACAGGCAAAGCTGAGATACCAACAAATGGAAGCTTAGCTGTAGATGAAAATACGCCAAGGATTTTAAAAGAAGTTGAATCTCGAAGGTACCTATATAAAGGGAAGACTTAAACCATCATTGAGCAAGTGTACTTTTCACTACCTAAATATAATTATATGATGTAATCGTAACCTGACATGTTAATTTGTGAGACAAGCATCAAACCAAAGTTTAGTTAAGCAGTTTTCAACAGCTGTAAAGACACGAGCCATATTCAGATCCGTGGAAAGGACTAGGTAAAATGATATATAGCAGGCCAGGAATTGCTCTTCACTAGACGCTGTTCCTAATTATTACCCCCTCTAGAAACTGGTTAGCCCTCGGGAATATTCTGGGATTGTGCAATAAGAAAAAAGGGAGAACCACCAACTCAGAGGAAGTTAAATGTGTCAACACAGTATCATAAAATTGTGTGCTAATATGATGCTCTGTTTTTGACCATTTTAAATAATAAAAGTATTTACTTTTGCCTTAAAGCATTGTTTTCAACAAGAGCTGTTTGCTTTCCGCTTATTTTTGGTGTACTGAAAAATGCAGGTCACAAAGAAGACAAGCAAGGACACTTGCTGGGAATTGTAACCATCAGGAGGGGACATCTAGTGATGATGAACTGCCTTCTGCAGAGATGACTGACTTCCAGAAAAGCCACGGTCAGTTACCAGGTTTCTAATATGTCTTGATTCAAAGTATTGAAATAATAGGAAATGCTTTGCTGTGACTGCCTTTAAATATGTGAGCTAAATAAAACAGCTGGGAAAATTTAGGAAAAATGGAACTTTTTTTAACTTCTTTTGAGTTTTCATTCCTGTAGAAAAATGAAATATGGGGAAGAAGCACATGCATATTCTTGCATCTCTGTAGCTTTTCCCCTTAGACTTTTCTGTAAACATGGGGATTTTGGTTTCATTTCTTCACTGTATATTTGCTAAAGTGCCATTTTCAGTTTAAAACAATTGAATTTAGTGAAACTGTTTTTAGCATTATGACAGAGTCTGAAGATTCCGGGCATTGGAGTTAAATAGACTTGAGTTCAGCAAGAGACTTTATTCTTCATGCTCATAGGCAAACTCCTTGACCTCAAGCTGATATTTGCTATCTACAAATAAATAGGTTAAATCTACCCTGTAGTGGAGATGGGTTGATGGAATGAGATGCATTTATCATCTCTTGGCATGTAGCAGGGGCTCAGTAAGTGGTAGAATTTATTAGTATTAATATTATCACTTTTGTCAAAGTGATAAAGTGATTTTTAAATAAAAATAAATTTATATGTTAGTGTGAAAGGAAAGTTTTCAGAATTGATTACATAGTCATACGTAACTGTTTACAAGGAAGCAAACTTGAAATGCATAATATAAAGAGATTTATTTTGTTTACAGGTGACATTTTACAGGATCATAAGAAAGTTTTTGAAGATGTGAATGATGATTTTTGTTGCATCCAGAATATTTTATTGAAATTTCAAGAATGGCGAGAGAAGTTTCCTGATTCCTATTACGAAGCTTTCATTAGTTTATACATACCAAAGCTTTTAAATCCTGTAATACGATTTCAGTTGATTGATTGGAACCCACTTAAGGTATTTATGCTTAATGTGCAATTGTCCTGGTCAAATTAATTGCTTAAGTTTTCTTACTATCAGGTTAGCTATAAAACACCTTACCCATAGGATTGGCTCTGAAATCTAATGCTTTGAAGTAACGTGAGTACCTTAACTACTTTCATACATTCTTCTTCTCTTGGTTCTCACTTGATTTTTAAGGCTGAGTAGCTCTGAACATCAGTAAAGCAAACAACTTTTGATTTTGTGGTACTGAAGATAGAACCCAGTGCCTCACATATGCTGTGCTAGGCAAGTGCTTTGTCCTTTTTGTCTGTCTTCTTTTAAGAGAGGATCTCATGAAGCTGCCCAGTCTAGTGTTGAACTTACGATCCCCTTTTCAGCCCCTTTAATAGCTGGGATTATAGGCATGCGTACCATGGCCACCGTAGCTTCTTTTTTATATTGTTTGAAATTCCCCCTGGAGGTAGAAGTACTATAAGGTTTGAGGAAATTTGACACAAAAGCCTAGGAGATGACATATTGGGAAGACTTAATTAGGAAAACTGAATTGAAGAGGAGGGGTAATTTAAGTGGAACATTAAAAAGTACATAGAATTTCAACAGGAGGAGAGAGAAAATAAAAGGTTTTGCAGAAGTATAAAGGGAAAAATACTAATTTAAGAGCAAGAGGTTACACTGAAGTTCAGATCCAAAATTGAGAGAGAATTTATTTTGGTAAGTAAAAAAATAGGAAAACTGATGTGTTGGAAATCATGTTTTAGGGAGCCCCAGTAGTGGGCTGATTGGGGGGAAGGGAAATAAGAGGTAGAAAGCTATTACTATAGCCCAGTGTGACATATTCGTCATGTGGGTGATAGTGCCAAAGGGAAGAGAAAGGAAAGATCATGTGGGTGATAGCGCCAAAGGGAAGAGAAAGGAAAGATTAGGTACAAGGTGTTATGGAAGAAGAATTAATATAATTTAGACCCTCTCCAAGTTTTGGATTTTGGAATCTTAGAAGAACAGTTATTCCATTAATAGGAATGGGAACTTTCCAGAAAGAGAGAAAGGATTTTGAAAGGAAACTTTACTTCATAAGTGATGAAATGCTACAGAAACAGCCATGTGGATACGCCTGCTAAGCAAGCAAATGAGATTATGAAATGATGAGAAGGTAGAACTGAAGATGATGATTGCACAAAATAGATGATAGAGCCATGTCCTTATCTTTGTGTTTCCTCCACCTGAGGATGGAACGCCAGGCCTTGCACACACTGAACACACATTCTGCCCTTTCTTATTTATGCATGCTTTTTCGCAGTGCAGTACTTAGGTTCCCTCTGTGCAGTCTGCACCAAACATTACCCGAATTTATTCCCAAAATGGTGTTAGGAAGCTGGGTAGGTGGCAGCCTAGTGTTAACCATTCTAGCTTAACTTGGTAGCAAAGGTCATTTCATTCATCCATTCAGCAAATAATAAAGGGCCATCTGTTTACCAGTAAGCTAAATCACAGGTTTCACACTTATGCTTCTGAGAATCAAAAGGACCAGAAGTCCATTTTGTTTGGAGTTAATAAATTTTTATAAACAAATTTTATGACCATTGCAAGTGTCCCACAAACAAGTACTTTGCCCCTAGCATACTTGCCATATGGTAGGCTCTGAAGGCCCTAGCCCAAGTTTGTTGAGTATCATGGTACCCTGGTTCACGAACTTGCTTCTTCACACTAATCCGGTCACAAGCCAAGTTGGACGAGTACCGAATCAAATACACTGGTTAGGTTCAAAGTTGACCTTAGGGGAAATTTGATTTATTTCTCATCCAGTACAAGAATCATGGAGATAACTGAGTTCATGAACTGAGGTGCCACTGTATTTCTTGCATGAAATGAATGCATGAAATGCAGCTGTTCTTTCATTTGGAACTGTGCCTTAGTCCTGTCACCTTGTCCAGCCATGATGCACTGGTGCTAGACTGCATAGTGTTAAAGTGGAAATTACTCTCATTGACTCTTGGAAAAGTTCTGATGATTACTGAAAAAGTTGATAAATTTTAAAATACACTTCTGTTTAACAATTTATTTATAACTTTTATAATTTCCTCTGTCAGTTGAGTTCCATAGGTTTAAAACAGATGTCATGGTTCACATCTATAGAAGAATTTATTGATAGAGGTGTTGAAGATACAGAGAAGGACAATAGTTCTGATAAAAAAATCTTGTCTGCTGTCATCAACAAAACAATTATTCCTCGACTTACAGGTACTCGCTTCTAATCTTGCTAAAATTTAAATGCTCTTTGACAGCATCTAAGATCATTAATGTCTGTTATAATCACAAATATTTTTTCGAAAGTTTTGGAGCACACGGAAATGTTATTCACAGTAATGATCAACAGGTGTCATATTTAAGCTGTGATTGTATAAGTAGTTGGCTACCAGATCTCTGACACTCTGGACCTTTTGTATTTGTGACGTTACTGCTGTTTTTTGACACCTAAGTTGTGTATTAGTGGTACTTTAATCCATATTATACATATTTCTTTCTCTCTCTCTCATCCTGTTGTTTCTTCTCTTTATTTATTCTCCCTTTTTCTCAAAACATTCCTGCATCTCCTTTTCATTTGGCACTGTCACCTGTCAGCATTAATGCCTGTGCTTCAACTTTAAAAGTCTGAAGACTTTTGTTCTACCTAAAACTATACTTGAGAAGGATCTGTTTTACTACATCACAGAGAATGAATTTTGGCAGCAAAGGCTGCAGAACTCTTACTTTAAAAGATGAAGCAGTCTGTGTTATGTTGTTTCTCAGTCAACTTGATTAACTTCCAAAGATTTTAAGTATTTTTCTGAAAAATCCAAATTCATACGATTAAATAATCCCAAAATAGGTAGCTTTATAAGAAATTAATACATGTAGTGGTTCCCACAGTGAATGAATTCTGTGTATATTTCAAAAGTAGCACTTAACAGACTTTTCTGATAGATTGTTTATGGGGCAAGATAGGAAGAGAGGAATCAAGAATGGTAGAATGGTTTGGGTCTGGAACAACTGGAAGGACAAAGTTGCTGAAGTGGAAAAGATGGAGAGGAGTAAGATTAGAGTAGGGAGGTGTGGCAGGAGCTCAGGGCCATGTTGGGTTTTAGATGCCTGTCACCCAAGTAGAAATGTCAAATGAATTGTTGAATGTATGAATCTTGAAGAGGTAGTGCAGACAGAGGTTTATGGTAGGAATGTGTTAATACTGCCATAATAGGACTTTAAGTTCTAAGGAAGAGAATATAAATAGGAAAGAGAAAGGAAGTGACCCTCAGGTACTCCAGCATTTAGAAGTCAGAGAGGTGAGAGCAGCTAGCAGAGACCAAAGGAGAAGGCAGGGAACCAGGAGGTTGGTAACCTGGAAGCCAGGTAAAGGAAGTATGAGAAAAAGGAATGGTAAACTCTTGCAGTTGTTGGTAATAACTTAGGATTAGAAGCAGCCATTGATGTTTGCTATATGAATGTATTCTGTAATTTAATGAAGTCAGTTTAGAAAGAGTGGTGTGAGATGAGGCCTAATTGAAAGGAATCTAAGCACAAATGGAAAGAGAAATATTGAAGATAAATGTTTAGACAGCAGTTTGAAGAAGTTTTGAAAGGAAGGAAAGGAATGGAGCAGTACTAGAGGGGGTGTAGACTACAGGGAGAATTACATTTCATACAGAGAAAATGGTGTGAAGGCATGTGTGAGAGATCTGGTAGAAATTATGGTAGTGCTGAAGCTGAAGAGCAGCGTCTGGGAGTGAAACATGGGGTTGGATCTTCCATACAAATCAAGGTTGGCCTTGGGGAGCATGAATGCTTCACCACAGGAATAGGAGACGGGAGAGCCTATGGGCCAAGATGCAGGTGAGCTTGTGGAGCTTCTCTTCTGCTTGCTTCTGTTTTGTTTGTTTTTTCACCAAATTAAGTAAAGTAAGTAGCTAAGAAAGAGAAAACAATCAGCTGAGAATGAGAACCAGCAGGAGGGAGAAGGTGTGAAGTGTTCATCTGGGGGAGAGGGAGAGGGAGGGACCAGAGCAAGAGGATGTGACTGCTGGCTAGGAAGAATGGCTGGCTGGAGTTTTATGATCAATTTAATGTGACTTTTGAAGCTACATTTTAACTATGTGGTTTCAGGGACAAGGTGGATTTAACCAGGCCTCCGGGTTAATCAGAACAGTCCAGCTAAATTCAAGGAGGACGAGGAAATTGAGGGGTGTACAGACGTGCGGCAGTAATGCCTGGCCAGGCACTGTAACTGGAATAAGGCTGGAAGCAGTCTGTGTTAAAGTCCTTAGTTGTTCATACATAGTAAGTAAAACAGTCTATGTAATAAATTGTACACCCCTAAAATATTTGTTTCAGACTTCCTAGAATTCATTTGGGATCCCTTGTCAACCTCACAAACAACAAGTTTACAAACACACTGCCGAGTGATTCTTGAAGAACATTCTACTTGGAAAAATGAAGTTAGTAAAAGCAAACAGGTAAAAATTTCTTGAGCCTGAAGTATAACTCAAAGGTAGAATATTTGTCTAGCATGTACAAAGTCCTGGGATCAATCCCCAGTATTGCAGAAAATAAAAAAAATAGGGGCTGGGGATTTAGCTCAGCGGCAAAAGCGCCTGCCTGGCAAGCTCAAGGTCGTGAGTTCGATTCCCGGTACCGGAGAAAAAAACAAAAAACAGAAAATAAAAAAAAATAATTTTATACAGTATTTTGTGGAAATATTTCCTATGTCCTTTTTCTTCTTGGCACAGCCTTCAAAACATTTAAGAAACTGAGTAAAACTAAATCAAAGTTTTGTTTTTACTGTAATAAAACAAAATTGACATATTGCTTGATTGACATATTGCTTGAAGAATATGTTACAGATAATGGTATGGAAAGAGAAATAAGACTTCAGTTCAGTATACTTTTTATGAAAAGTAAATTTGGTCAAACTTAGATTTAGGACTAATTTTTTGCAGGGTATGTGACAGTTTAACTTGTGTTGCGTATTGATTTAAAAATAGTTGTCGTTTTGGTGTATAGTACATCATTTTCATTCATCACGTATGGATTTTTAAAGAATAGATACCATATCTCATAGAAATATTGCTAGTACATGAAAAATATTTTACACTCCCATCTTTTTTGTCCTAATACTGGTATCAAGGATTGATACCATTGTATGATATTTTTGTTCAGCCTTTTTTGTTCAAAGTTATAATCCTAGTGGACATACAAAGATGTGTCATACTTTTGCATAACATTATTATACTACATATTTATATTGGCCTGTTACTACAATTTTCATAACCTTTAGCTAAGTAGTATTTCCATTCAGTGATCCCTTATGATTGAGTATTTTGGTAATTCCCAGTTTTTGACATACTAACAAAATGAATTTGTCAAAGTGAATTTACTGTATCAAAGAACAAGGTATAAACTACAAGGTATCTATAGCCAGAGAATAAGAAAGAGACACAAGCTAGTACAAAAAAACAAAAAATAGAAACATAAATGAGCAGATTAACAAAGTCACACCAAATGCAACAATGTATGTGACTAGGTTTCTTTTTTTTTTTTTGGTTTTTCTCCGGTACCAGGAACCGAACTCACGACCTTGCGCTTGCCAGGCAGGCGCTTTGCCACTGAGCTAAATCCCCAGCCCCCGTGACTAGGTTTCTCATATCCAGTTTATTAATTATTTTAACAGCCAATGTTGTGAGTGTGTACAGGTTTGCACTATTAAAATTTCTTTGGCCAGGCATGGTGGTGCTCACCTGTAGTCCCATCTACTCAGGAGGCTGAGACAGAAGGGTCACAAGTTCAAATTACTGATGGTAATTTTTGTTTATCTCAATTTATTGAGACCCTATATCAAAGGGTCTCAAATACAAAATACAAAAAGGACTGGAGATGAGGCTCAGTGGTGGAGCTCTCTGGACTGACCCACAGTACTGAAAAAAAACAACATTTTTTAAATAAGTCTGTATCCATCTGGAATTATCACTAACGCTTTTCAAATTTTTAAATAATAGGATTTACTTAAATCTATTGTTTCAAGAATAAAGAAGTCAATAGAAGATGATGTTTTCATACCTCTGTATCCAAAGAGGTAAGAACTATTAATTTGGAGATTGTAATATATTGTATCACATCATGCAATTTAAGATTATATTACAAAAGAAACTACAGTGTTTTCAAAACATACACACACATTTACTACGATGCAAATGGAGATTTCACCAAATACTCCTCAGTCCCCTGCTATATATGATTCCTGATGTTTTCCACTTGGATGTTGTGTTTTTTATGTTTTTAGTCTTTAATTATTTTAAGGTATCCTGGGAACATGAGGGTGCCACAGTGGTGAAGAGCAGCATTTCTGGTGCTTGCATCTACCATTACTGTGTGTTTGACCTTGGGTCTTTCTGTGTCTGTGTCCTCACCGTACAGTGAGGATAAAATTAGCTGCTTCACAGGACCTTAGAAGGCTGAAGAGACTGCTCTGAACAGAACAGAGCCCAGCACAGAGGAAGCACAGCATAAGCCTAGCACCTCACTGAAGGACCAGAAACTGCAGCTGTAATGCTGTGCTTTATGAAACACGTAGTATTTGAGGCATGATCAGACATGTGCTAGGAAGGCTTCAGTTATGGTAAGGATTTATGAACTGTAGCGACCCAGTGGGTACTTCCGGGATGGAAGTGCTTTCTGGAGGGGGAAGAAGGAACCCAGGAACTTAAAGATTAATTGTGAGTTGTGAGGAGATACCTGCATATGAAAATTCTTCCCAGGTAAAGTTCACTTTGTAGTGTTTTAGATGCATAGTGTATTTAAAATGAAAAGTTTTACTTTCACCCTGACCTCCATCCACTCAGATTTTGCCTTTACCCCACATATACATGCATATAATAACAATCAGTAATTTTTATCTTTTCAGATCTTCATGCAATAGAAGTTAATACTCTTCTATGCTATAATGTTATTTCCCCTCCTTTCTATAGCAAAGTATATGGGCTTTTATGGGCTTTTTTTTTTTTTTTACCAGGAATTAAACTCAGGACCTTGCACTTGCCAGGCAGGTGCTTGTGCTGCTGAGCTATATCTCTGGCCCTATAGCAAAGCATATTATAAACAGTCGTAATCAGCTTTATATACTTTTTGTTCATTTAGTACATCTTTGAAATTATTTCACATCATCTTTTTTTAGCTGTATAATATGCTGCCCCATAAACATCCTGCAATGGGTGGATACATTAGTGGTAAATGCTTGCCAACAGTGATGGTATAAATAACCTGCCTAACATTCTACACATGTGCAAACATCTGTACAGCCAGTCTCAGAAATGGGATTGGTGGGTAAGAATGTGGATGCATTTCTAATTTTGGTAGATAACATCAGAGAACTTCCATTTATATTCCATTAAAACTTTGATTGGTTTGAAAAAGTATTTTTTAAACCAAGTGTGGTGGCACCACCCCTGTAATCCTAGCACGGAGGAGGCTGAGGCAGGAGGACCCTGAAAGTTTGAGGCCAGCCTGAACTACATAACAAGAGCCTGTCTCAAAAAAACAACAAAAAAGTGTCTTTTAAACTCAGTTCTCCTGAAAGAGTTAAGAGTCTTCAGGATTTTCTTCTTTCTCTGTTTTAAATTATTAGCACTGTAGAAGATAAAACATCACCACATTCAAAGTTCCAAGAGAGACAGTTCTGGTCAGCTCTAAAGGTAAGCAAAAGACTACAGAAATACAAGTATAGTTTATCACTTACATGTGAAGAACATAGGGTCGTAACCAAGTATCTCACTTTGGCTGTGTTTTCACTACTAGCTTCTAACATTTTTGAGGGACATTGTAGACGATGTGGGGAAAAGAAAAGGAGATGAGGGAAGATGAGATCTGTTTTGGCATAATAAGTGTGGGACAACCTGAGATTCAGAGGTCTAGAAGGCATTGGCTTAGGAGTGCTTGTGTCGAGCAGATCTGAGCTGAGGACGTGTCGGCAGTATCCGGAGCCATGGGCATGAATGACATGTTCAGAGAAAAGTGGGTGAAGTGTGAGGAGAAGGCTGAGGTCAGAACTCCGGAAACACTTTCAGAAAAGGGGACAAGGAAAACGTAGTCTTCAGAGAAAGCTTAGATCAGCCGTGAGACAGTGGCCTCATGGTTATCAATAAACAAAAGGTTATCATGGCACAGACAGAAAAGAATTAGGAGAAAGAGAATGCGTACTGGGTTTGACAGTTGAAAGGACATAGATCACCTCAACAAGAGCAGTTTTCCTTGAATGAATGAATGTTTGATGTGGTTGAGTCAGGGAAAGGGCTTTCCAGGACAGGGAGCAGGGTCAGCCATGACATTGTAGTGAGAAAACACCACATACTAGTGCAGCTTCGTGACATTCAGCGCTCAGTGTAGTAAATAAAGTACGGAAGGAAAGTGGAACACATCTTAAAATTACGAGAAAGACCCAGATTGAGAGGAAGGAAAGGGAACCAGTATTTATTTTACAGTTTTTGGTTCTTCATCCAGCCTATCTCCAAATATATAGTTGATTATTCTTACTTTAGATAGTGGAGAGATGACACTGTCAGTGTTGAGTGACTTCTCACAGTCACACATTGGAAACCGTGACACTGCCTTTGACAGCAGCTCTTTATGAGCCAGTGGTCCCAAGATCTGAGACAGCATGATTGGGAGCAAGAGTATTGACATGGAAAGGCATTGTAAAGCTATTTGAGGCAGATTTGGAAAAACAGGATGAACAAACACGTAAAGGTTGGAAAGAATCACGTCCTTTGTCAGAGATGTTTTCTCTTCTAAAGTTGACAGTTCCAATGGATCTAACTGTGAGACTTGAAAAGTTTGACAAAATCTTTATCTTTGTTAGAGACTATTAGGATTTCTGTTTGGAAGACAAGTACATATTTACATGGTATTCTATTGTAGCTCTTCCGTAATACTCTTCTTTGGAATGGACTCCTCCCAGATGACACATTGAGAGAGCTAGGACTAGGAAAGCTGCTAAATCGCTACCTTCTTATAGCTCTTCTTAATGCCGTCCCTGGGCCAGATGTTGTTAAGAAGTGCAGCCAGGTAAGTTGTATAGCACCCAATTCTAATTTTTATCATTTTTAAGACTTAGCTATTAAAGTTTGTCTTGCAGCAAAGTAATTAAAATTGTGATGCTCACATAAGAATAGACAAACCCATTTAACAGCATGGAACCCAGGAGTAGTCCCTCTGTATTTAAGACTTAGTATTCTAGCTGGAAGTACCACTAACAGAGAAAGGGAAAATTCATACTAAATGGTGCTGGGACAACTGCTGTCTGTAAAAAACAAGGGTAGATCCAAACCTCTCACTATGTGTCAGGATAAATTTTAGGTGAGGGCTGGGACGTAGTGTAGTAGTAGAGCACTTGGTTGGCATGTGCAGGGCTCTGGGTTCAGTCACAAGCATCACAATCAATCAATCATTCAATTGATTTCAGGTAAAAAGAGCTAACTATAAAAGTGGAATTACAAGATTTGCAAAGAGAATAAATAACTGGAGGTGGGGAGTCCTTTCTAAACTTAAAGAAAAAAGAAATAATGAGTGAAAACAGATTTGACAGGAATATAAAGCAACAGTGGGTTAAAGAACAAGGAAAGGGTATTAAGATTCATTGATGGTTGTTAAAGTAAAAATGTGTGCATTGGGATCATTATACTCTGTTTTTTTGGTACGGAGGTTGAATCCATGGCCTCCACAATGAGCTACATCCTTATCCTTTTTTTAGTTTTTATTTTGAGGCAGAGTCTCACTAAGTTGCCAAGGCTGAGGGTGAACTTTGTCATCCCCAGAGTGCTGGGATTATAAACCTGTATATAAACCTGATTATAAACCTGCCCCAGCTTCCCAGAGTGCTGGGATTATAAACCTGTACCACCAGACCCAGCTCTCCTGATTTTTATCTTGAAATCTACTAGTATAATAAGTTTAAAAGAAAATGAGCTAAGAAACTAGGTAATGAGAAGGTATAACACATAACAAGTGTTAAAATCCACATTGATTAAAAAAGCTCTTTTTAACTTAGTAAACACTGCAAATGTTATTAAAAAGGCCCCAGACCAAAAAAATAAAAAGGCCCCAGAAATATGCACCAATCGAGTTACAAAAAAAGGATATACAAAAATAGAGTATAAGTGTGGTTTTGATTAACAGTACTAATAATAACCAGAGAAATGCAGACTATTATGTAGTGAAGATACTTGTTTACAAGTCATGTTGAGGAACATGTTTTTGCTGTGTTATTTTGCCTGTAATTTCCAGCATTGGCACAAGCACAAGAAGCAGCAGTGCCAGCCCTGCAGGAGCAGGCATCTCTCACCAGGAGTACACAGGTGGCGCAGTGGTTCTGGAAAATTCTCTAGCACTGGTGGGAGGAGAGACAGCTCTGCTGGAGTATATTTTGGCATGATGGGTGTTTTAAAGTTCATACCCTTTGGCTCATAAGTGAAAAATCAGAGATACACATAAAGATTTTAAGGGTGAAAAGAAATGTAGCATTATCATATTAGAAGATCATTGGAAACTGCCTAAATGTCCCCCAAAATATACTGGTAAGGATAAAAGCCATGTTGAAGAATTTTTAAGAATATAAGAAAGTAATTATTTTACAATATAATTTCTAAACAGAACAACATAAGAACCTATGTATCAGTTTCTAGTCAACCATGAATTTTGGCCTGTAGTTTTTATGATACAGTTTAAACATTATATATTAAAAATTTAAGTCATTTTCCATGGTGTGTCTCTCAGGGTTGGTATAGTCTCCTTTGACCATAAAGATCCACTGTGAAGGGGAAGAGATAATACATTCACACAGCATTTTCCCCACTGCATATGACTGGAAAAGCAGGCCAAGAAAGTGTAGCTTTAAGTCCTGGGATCATTTATGGTCAAGCCTCATAGCTGTCTGAGAATTTTATTGAGACTTGTGATACAAACTAAAGAGGAAATTAAGTTACAAGCCAGTAAAAGGCTGGTTTTAAAACATCTGAAAAGAGATTTTGCATAATACTAAATGCCAGACCTTCTGTCTAATGTAACCATGTATCTGAATTATTTTTCTCAGTATTTGAAAACGAACAAGTGAGTGTACTCATTGACTTATTTTGCTGCTGTGAACATTTAAAACAGTGCATTTAATTGATAATCAAAACCATAATTAATTTTTCTTTCATTCTGCATATCTTTGAATCACTCACTTGATTCCTTAACTCTGATTTATGTAGATCATATACTAGGCCACCCAATTTTTTTGTGTGAAATAATATTAAATGTGCATATTTTATAATTTTATTGACAAAGTATTTTGGCTCCAGGTACTTGTGGTGGTTGTAAATTAGTTTTTGTACACATATAACAGCGTAGGAAACAAGAGTATAGAATAATTACAGATGTTTGTGAAGAATGTTTTATTTTAAACACTTAGTAATAAATTTTTCAAACGTTATGTATAACCTTTGATACAGAATGAGAAATTGTTCAGAAATTTTTATTAAAATATAAGCTATAAAATGAGATTATTCCAATTCCATAATCACTGTAAGATTATACTGGCAAGGGTCCTTCAATAACTGTAACTGTTGTAAATAGCCAGTGTTTTGATTAACAGATAGCAGCATGTCTCCCTGAGAAATGGTTTGAAAATCCTGCTATGAAGACATCTATTCCCCAGATGGAGAGCTTCATTCAGTTTCTATTGCAGTCTGCACATAATTTATCTAGAAGTGAATGCAGGTAATGCATATTTATTTGACTTATATTAGACTTCAAAAAATCTGTTGAGACATTGTATTACTACAGAATTAGTAGATATTTTTATGGCTACTTTGGAATTGCTCATTACTTCATATTTGTACCTCATTGATATTCATATTTTTAAATACAAATCTCTCCCAAAGTTTTTAAACGCATATCACAAATTTAAATTAAAACTATAAGTTAAAAATCACCTACAAAGGCTTTTAAATGTGTTTTTAATTTTCTTGACTACTTGTAAATATTCAGTACTTATTCCATATGGATTTATTGCCTGGTGGTTAGCCAACAGCACCTAGATTTATGTTTTGAACATTTCACTCATAGCAGCAAGTATTTAGAGAATTAAATACAGCAGTGTTCTGCTAAAATACCTCTGCAAAAAAATTAAAAAGCCCAGATTCATAGTATTTCCTGGTGTTCTTGATGTAAATAATACTACCATGGCTCCCACAAGCCAGTAGTAGCATAGCACTACCAGGATTTCTAATGACAGATTTACTTTGTGCTTGTCTGCTTTTTACAGATACTCACATTGAAATTTGCCAGATTATGTTCACTAATAGTCTGCATTTGAGTTTTATAATTATAGTTGTAGGAAGCTTAGAGATAGAGATAGGGATACATTATGAGAAGTGCATCAGTAGGCGATTGTGTTGTTCATGCAAGCATTATAGGCTGTGCTTACATAGCTCTAGATGGTACAGCGTACTGCACACCTAGGCAGTGTTTGTCAGATACACACATACATAGAAAGAAAGTACGAGTAGCCTCTTGCTCGTAGGGTCATGACAAATAAAACAACACGAAAGTAAATCAGTCACAAGAAAAAAATGATGCAGGGGCTGGGGATTTAGCTCAG